ATCTTCAAAATTCAGATAATGATAATACCTACCTCCTAGGGTTGTTGGAGGATCAAAAGAGATGATAACTGTAAAGCACTTAGAGTGCAGGGCACATAGTATTCATTATGGAAATGTTAGTTATTATTATTATTGTTATTAACATGCCTCATGGCAACTTCTACATACTGCTCCTAGTTTTACTTCTTGGAAGCAAGAAGAAATCAAATCCCTCATCTATATCAATGGCCATATATGCTGAAGAAAGGCATTATGGCCTCCACTAACTCCCTCCTGACCCAGCACAGAACCTGTTCTCCTCAGGCTAAACACCTCCAGATCCCTCTTCAATTAACCCTCATGCTTAATAAACTTGAGGCTTTTACTCTCCTAACTGCCCTTCCCTTCATGCTCTCTAGTTTTTCAATGCTTTTCCTAAAATGAAATACTCAGAACTGAACACGATACTCCAGGAGTGTTCTCAACACTGTGGACAATCATCTTATTCCTGGAGGCAATGACTCAGGTGTATTAGCTCTTTGGGCTGCATAATGTCGATTCATACCAAACTTATAGTCCACACATACTCCCAGTCTACCTATGTTTTCAGCATCACGTACTTATGAAACCAACTGTTTCGACTTTGCTATAAGGACAATTTATGCAAATTAAATTTTATCTCCTTCATTTTGGCCAAACATTCTGACCTGTGAAAACATTCTGAGATCCTGAATCTATGATGCCAGGTGTTAGCTCTCTATGATTTTCTACATTGTAAACCTCCTCAGTTCCTTCCACTAATACCTGTGTAGAATAATCTCCCAAGGACAAAATTAACAGTCTTTCCCCATTTGCACAATTCATCATTTCAGACAGACAATGTCAGGCAGTCCACCTTATATTTGGGGACTAAGATCCTATACCAGTAAGATTATGACACCATCCGTGTGGAGCGCAAGCCTGAGGAGAAATAGCAGCACTGGAGACTTGGCTGAAACAAACATCCTTTTGATCACCCTTCCATGGGTGAACTCCTACCTCTACCTTTCCACTGCCACCAATTATTGATGTACTTTCAGGAATGGATCATACCACAGCAAAGGACAATAAACAACCACCCCTCTGATTCTGAACCTTATAGCATGTAATGATAGATAAATGAAATTAATATAGTCCTAAGTAGAGAAACAGTAAAAAACAGTTTCCCATCCCTTCTTGCTCTAGGATCCCCAAGCAAGACAGGCAGGGAAGGGGTCAGCACTAGAGAAAATAACACATAATTGCCTTTCTGGACTAATCCTGGTCATCTTTACTCCAGGAGGCTCCCAGTCCTCTCTATTACACTCAAGAAGGTCAGAGGTGAAGGAGATGGGCACCCTAGGCTCTATCGATCGCATCATATCCACCTCCGGAATTTGGATCATCCCTTCTAGCATAGAGAAGTACTGCTTAGGGTGGCACAGATGGAGTGGCAGATGGGAAGTGAAAGCGTAACATAAAGTTACCAAGGATAAAAACTATTCACGTGCAAAATTCATATGTTCCTATGCAGGGAAACTTGATGAAATCAATTGCAAAATGAACCAGTGGCACGTGATGGGTACACTGCCTCTGGCCTAGAAGCTGGCAAACCTAGGAGTGGTAATATACCATCTGGGAATGAGGACAGGAGACTGAAGAGGAACAGGAATGGCAGAGACAGAGTAGGATGGAAAGAGACAGCAGACACATGAGACAATGCGACACAGAGAAAAAATAAGACACCGGGGGTGAGGTACAATGAGACAAAGAAATAAAGAAAAGAGCTAAGAGAGACACTAAGAGAGACATGCAAAGTAAGGGAGAAAAGAGACAGTGAGCAAGAGGAGAGAGAGAGAGAGAGAGAGAGGAGAGAGAGAGAGAGAGAGAGAGAGAGAGAGAGAGGGGGGGGAGGCAGAAACAGAGACATAGACAGACAGAAAGACAGAGGATCACACTGGGTAGGCTGCTCTCTCTCCTGATTTTTTAGAACACTGGGGCCTTGTTTTCAGGGTTTGTCTACTCTGAGAAGCTTGGAAAGACTTGGGATAATTCTTAGGTACACTGTAAGAGCTTCGAAAAAGTGTCATCTCTACCCAGGGTGAGTTTATACTTATTCCGTAATTAGGTATCACACAGGAATAGGACTGTGTGAAGCTTCAAACCAAAGGCCTACTGCTGAGTCCTCAGACATAATTTCAAGAGAGCTACTGGGAAAGCATTTGCCCACACGCTCCTCTGCCCCCAGTTAAATTGGCCTGCTCCTTTCCCCACTAACTGGCCACATTTACAACTTTAGCTCAGGAAATCAACATGGGGTGGCCTTGGGTAGCCTGCCTGACTCCATTACTCGAAGGTAGGTTAGGCTTGACTCAGGGGCCAGGTATCTATTCCCAAGAAGTCTTTGACCTAGTTCTTAGAACTGGAATCCTCATCTGCCCTGTACCAGCCACTGGCTCCACTGGACTCCTCTGTGCCATATGTATGGACTCTGAGGTTTGAAATGTGACTGGGGCATATTCTCAACCTCCTAAGGAAAGGGAAAAGGTAAGCTAGATGAAAAGGCTGAACTTAGGAACTATGAATGCCATTTACCTAACCAGCAGCTCAGGACCAAGCTAGCAGGACTGCAGGGACAGGGGGGACCACTGGGCATCATTGCTATTTCCCGACATAGAATTTCACTCTTCCCAAGTTCCTTATTATAATGCACTTTAATCATGGTTGTGTATTAGTTCCTTTTCCATGCTCTTCATTCTTGAATTGTGCTACTTTGCTTCCTGGCATAGAAGTAAGCTTCTTAAGGGAAGGGACATTTCATTTCTCTCTTTACATCTCCAGAGTCTAGCATAGTACTTAATGCATAATAAGTATTTAATCAATTCTTCCTGATTGACTGAGAGAGCCCAGGCCTACAGCAGCTACACCTAAAGGCTAATTTAGGTCTCTATTTTGGATATTTCTGGACTCACTACCTAAATGGGGGAGGGGGGAAAGAAAGGGGCCTAAACTCAGTCTTATAAATAAGTGACAGGTAACAATTTTTTAAAAATGTTCACTTTCTAATATACTGATAGCCTTCTTTTCCTTCTAGTCTACCATGAATGTCTTAGAGCCCAATTATATAAAACATTAAGCTGTCAAACAGATCAGGGCAATCCACTCCCAAATACAAGATGAATGTGATTAAAAAAAAAAACCACTTTTCTTACACTTTCTTACCTCCTATGTCACACACTTTTCACTGACCTCCTGGCTGACGCATGAATAAGACACTCCATCTCTCAACGATGGGTATTTTCTCTGACTGTCCTTCATGACCAGAATGCTATCCCTCCTCATCTGTGCTTCCTGGCTTCCTTCCTTCAAGTCTCATCTAAAATCCCACCTTCTACAACAAGCCTTTCCTGATCCCACTTAGTTCTAGTTCCTTCCCTCTGTGGATTATAGACATGATTATAGTAGACAGAGTAGTAGATTATAGCAGTAGAGTAGTATAGTAGATTATAGTTATCTATGGAATACAGATACTTATCCTGCCTATAGATTTTTCACATTTGTTTACATGTCACTCCCATTAGATTGTGAACTCCTTGAGGGCAGGGATAAATACTGACACACTAATAACTAACTAACAAAATAGACAGATAAATAAATTGCCTAATACACAAACAAATAAACAGATAAATAAACAAATGCAGGCTGACTGACTCTTCAGCTACAGATCCCCTTTGGAAGGTAACAGAATTGGAAAAAGTACCAAGAAAACAAAAGCTCAGGGATACATAGAATACATGGTGAGAGTTATAACTTCTTGCTTTAAACACGTACACTCAAAAAAACTCCTACCATCCCTGTATCTGTATTTCCTTCAAACAATGCTCTCAAATTTGCTTATACTCAAATCATATCTTGTTAAATAAGAATAGATTTCCCCTTTCCTCTCAACAGAACAAAACACTGCATTTCTCCTTTTAACTTTCTCTGACAGATCTGGAAAGAAGAGTCAAAAGCAGAAGTTCTATTGATGGGAAATTTCCTTTTAAAATGTTTCCCACTGAATTTTTCTGTCATTTTGAAAAGGACAATCTACTTTCATAAAGAAGAGAAAGCCTCACCAATGGGTAGGGCTTACCCCAAATTAAAAAAAAAGACTTTCAGAGGCAATGACATCACTATGGAAGTCTGTGGTCCAGTAAGTTCCTAACTCACAGGGCAAAGAAAATATATGTAGGTAATGCTAGCAATTAAAGATGTGAAGTCAAGTGTAGAAGTCTTCTTGATGAGGTTTGGGGGAGACTGGGAGGAAAAAGAAAAAGAATATTCCATGAAACATAGATTTTTTAAAAAGAAATTCTCACAGATCTAAGTAAGATTTGGTATGATCCTTCTTGGAAGAGAATAAATGGGTCAAGCGCTACAGAGGTACCTGGCATTGGAATCTATAACTGTGATACGTACATCAATCTTCCACCAAGAAAATGGGAATTTACCAGCCATAGTATGGTTCTTGTTCGAGCCTATTCTGAAGGGTTGTACTTCTTCTACAGGGATTATCCAATGAAAACTCAAGATTACACCAAGCACCTTACTTTGGGTGAAAGTCTTTAGTGGAACAAGGATAATTAGCTTTTCTCCCCTTGATGAACAAACCAAAACAAGGAGGGAAAGGAATACAAGCACAGGAGACACACACAGAGAGAGAGGGGGAGAGAGGGGGAGGGAGAGAGGGAGGGAGAGAGGGAGAGAGAGAGGGAGAGAGAGAGGGAGAGAGAGAGAGAGAGAGAGAGAGAGAGAGAGAGAGAGAGAGAGAGAGACAGAAGAAAAAGAAGAAGAAGGAAGAAAAAGGAAAAGATGGAGAGAAACCACTACACTAGACAGACCTATACCTTGGGGAAGAGCCACCTACCTATCCATCCATCCTTCCATCAATCTACTTATCTATCTATCTCATCCATCCATCCATCCATGCATCCATCCCATCCATAAATTCATAAACATACCTGATGGGATAATCAGCAGCACTGAGGTTAATGAAGAAGTCCCATGGCCAATCTGTCATCTCCATCAAGTCCCTCATGCTCTGGAGGTAAGTGGACAAAAGACTGGCACCTCCCCAGATGGTAGCCATTCTCCAGGAGGTCACACGCACATTTTGGTACTGACCAGCAAACTGGAGCACTTGTCGATGCAGATAATTGGACCTCTTTTCCAAGAAGAAAAAAAGAACCATTTAGCAGTGAGTAGAATACACTGACATAACTTTCGTATATTCCATTCCCTTTTAGCATACTGGACTTCCAAAAAACCTGATTTTTCCAATCAATGAATTCCAGCTTGGACTCCTTAATGATGTTAAACTATAAATAGGCCCCAAAGTAGAGAGAATTTAGAATGAAATCTGGAAATTTTGTCCATAAATATATGATGGCTCTCCTGGAGTGTGGAATCTTACCAGCCTTCCTGGCTCCTCCTAAAGGCCTGATAAGAATCAGGTACCCTCAGAGCAGGTCAATTTGAACATTCCAACCACTCCTTTTAGTTTTTCACTTCTTATAGTAATACCACTTTAGATGCACATGACTTAGCTAGATATTTCCACAAAACATGTGACAAAGAAGCATGTAAGCAAAACAAACAAAATACACTTTAAAGACTTCCCCTCTCCCAATATGTAATGGGATCTATGTTATAGCCCACATGTTAAAGATTTAGAAAGGAGAGTGGCTTTTCTACAAGCAACCTTCTTGATGAGAGGAAAAGTAATGTGATAGGGTGACAGGAACAGATTGGGAGATACTGAAACAGAAAATTTGTAACAGGGGACATATTACCTTGTCAACATGGATATAATAAAAATGGTCCTTATGGTAAATAGCCTTAAACATGCGCTGGAGCTGCCGAGATGCCCGGCCATGTACCACCAAGACGAAGGCAATCCTGACAGGGTTGGAAGGCATGTACTCCACAGAGTCCTCATCCCACCGCACATTGTTGTTGGCTTTACCTGTAGAGAAATCCAAGAGATCAAAAATGTGAATGTGCCCACAGGACTGTAGAAATCTAGGGGCTTACAAAGGATTTTCTTCTCCTAGACCATCTGATCAAAGAACACTTGAGTTAGGCACCTTAGGAGTCACCTGGGACAAACTACATGATGTGCTGTTTGTAGACTGAAGACTGGAGAGGTAGATTGTAGTCCTATTTTTTTTTGTTCTTATTAATTTTTAGTTCCAAAGTCTCTCTCCCTTCCCCTACTGCACCCACTGAGAAGGCAATAAATACACATTATGCATATGAAGTCATGCAAAATATATTTTCACATTGGCCATACGAAAAAAAAAACACAAGAAAAATAAAGGAAGTAAAAGAAAATGAATTTTAATCTACACTTGGACTTCATCAGTTCTGTCTTTGGAGGTGGATAGCATTTTTCATCATAAGTCATTTGGAATTATCTTAGATCATTACAATAATCAGAGCAGCTAAGTCTTTGACATTGATCATCAACAATACTGTTGTTACTGTATATGATGATCTACTGGTTCTCCTGACTTCACTTTATATCAGCTCATATAGGTCTTCCCAGGCTTTCATAAAACTATCTTTTTTTTTCTTTTTTTAAATATAAATTTATTTATGTTTAGCTTTCAACATTCACTCACACAAGTTTTTGAATTCCAAATTTATACCCCATCTCCCCTCCTCCCACCCCAAGATGGCATGCATTCTGAATATCCCTTCCCCTAGTCTATCCTCTCTTCTATCTCTCTCCCCTTCTCTTATCCCCTTCCCCTTCTATTTTCCTGTAGGGCAGGAAGATTTCTGTACTTCATTTCCTGTATTTCTTGTTTCCCAGTAGCATATGAAAACATTTTTTTTAAACATATGTTTTTAAAACTTCAGGTTTCAAACTTTCTGTCTTTCTCCCTCCGCAAACACCCCCATTGAAAAGGCAAGCAACTCAATATAGGTTGTACATGTGCAGTTATGCAAAACATCCATAGTAGACATGTTGTGAAAAACTAACTCTATTTCCCTTAATCCTATCCTGCCCTCCCATTTATTCTATTCTTTCTTTTGACCCTGTCCCTCCTCAGAAGTATTTACTTCTGATTACCCCTTTCCCAATCTGCCCTCCTCTCTATCATCCCCCTGCTCTCTTGTCCCCTTCTCCCCTATTTTCCTGTAGGGTAAGACAGATTTCCATACCCAATTGAATGTGTATGTTATTCCCTCCTTAAGCCAATCCTATGAGAATAAGATTCACTCATTCCCTCTCACCTTCCCGTTTCCCCTCACTGTAAGAGACTTTTCTTTTCTGGTTTTTTTTTTGAGATAATTTACCCCATTCTACTCTCCCTTTCTTCTCTGAGTATAATCCTCCTCTCATCCCTTAATTTTATTCTCCAGATATGACCCCAATCTTCAACTCACCCCTGTGCCCTCTACCTATCTATCTATCTACATTATACATATAATTTTTTTTCTCCAACTGCCTATACTGACAAAGGTCTCATGAGTTATAATATCATCATCTTCCATGCAGGAATGTAAACAGTTCAATCTTAATAAGTCTCTTATGATTTCTCTTTCCTGTTTACCTCTTCATGTTCCACTTGAGTCCTGTATTTGAAAGTCAAATTTTCTATTCAGCTCTGGTCTTTTCATCAAGAATGCTTGAAAGTCCTCTATTTCACTGAATGACCATTTTTTCCCCTGAAGGATTATACTCAGTTTTGCTGGGTAGGTGATTCTTGGTTGTAATCCTATCTCCTTTGCCCTCCGGAATATTATATTCCATGCCTGGTCCTTAATGTAGAAGCTGCTAAATCTTGTGTTATCCTGATTGTGTTTCCACAGTACTTGAATTGTTTCCTTCTGGCAGCTTGTAATATTTTCTCCTTGACCTGGGAACTCTGGAATTTGGCTACAAATATTCCTAGGAGTTTTCCTTTGGGGATCTCTTTCAGGAGGAGATTGTGGATTCTTTCCTATTTTGCCCTCTGGTTCTAATAATCAGGGCAGTTTTCCTTGATAATTTCTTGAAAGATGATGTCTAGGCTCTTTTTTTGATCATGGCTTTCAGATAGTCCAATAATTTTTAAATTCTCTCTCCTGGATCTATTTTCCAGGTCAGTTGTTTTTCCAATGAGATATTTCACATTGTTTTCTAATTTTTCATTCTTTTGGATTTGTTTACAGTGTCTTGATTTCTCATAAAGTCACTAGCTTCCAATTGCTCTATTCTAATTTTTAAGGAAGTATTTTCTTCAGTAATCTTTTGGACTTCCTTTTCCATTTGGCCAATTTTTCTTTTTAGGGCATTTTCTCCTCATTGGCTTTTTGGACCTCTTTTGCCATTTGGGTTAGGCTATTTTTTAAGGTGTTATTTTCTTCAGTATTTTTTTGGGTCTCCTTTAGCAAGCTGTTGACTTGTTTTTCATGATTTTCTTGCATCACTCTCATTTCTCTTCCCAGTTTTTCCTCTACTTCTTCTTACTTGCTTCTCAAGATCCCTTTTGAGCTCTTCCAAGGCTTGGGACTGATTCATATTTTTCTTGGAGGCTTGGGACGTAGGAGCTTTGACTTTGTTGTCTTCTTCTGGTTGTATATTTTGATCTTCTTTTTCACCAAAGTAAGATAATATGTTCTGACTCTTTTTGCACTGCTTGCTCATGATCCCAGCCAATTACTTGAGTTTTAAACTCTTTTAAGTTAAGAGTCTGCTTCCCATGTGGAGAATGTATTGTCCCAAGATTCAGGGGTTTCTATAGCTGTTTTCAGAGATACTTGTAGGGACCTGTAAATTTTCAGTTCTTGCAAGGTGGTATGATAAGTGGTGAGGTGTTTATTCCTTTCCTGTCCTGCAAATACAAGTACTCCTTTCTGTCCTGTAACTGTGAGGAGGGGCTCCTCTCCACAGCCACTACAAGCTCCTCCACACCAGCACTCTTCCTCACCCCCGCACCGCTGCCCAGAACTGTGGCACAGATCCAAACATGTGCAAAGCAAGAGATTCCTGCCTCAGCACTGGCAAAGAGATCCCTGTAATCCCTTTCTGATCAGCCACTGGATTCCCCCTGAGTCTGTGGGCCAGAAGCTCAGGAAACAGCTGCCCCCCACCTCCTGGGGCCATGCTCTTGGGGAATGGAGCTGAAACCCCACCTTCCTGTCTCAACACTGACAGAAACAGACATTTCCCACTGACCTTCTAAGTTGTCTTTGGCATTTGTGGATTTAGGAGTCTGGAAACCACCACAACTGCCCGAGATTCAGTCCTCTGAGGCCTGCGTGCCCACCGCTGCGCTCCCAGCCCGATGCAACACACCTTTCTGGTCAATCATCCAGATTGTCTTGGTCTGGAAATTTGTTTCACTCTGTATTTTTGTGGCTTCTGATACTTCAGAAGTTGTTTAGAGCCATTTTTTTATGACTATTTAGAGGGGTTTGGAGGAGAGCACAAGCAAGTCACTGCTTTCACTCCACCATCTTGGCTCGTCCACCAAAAAAATCTCTCTTTCATCATTTCTTATACCACAATACTATTTTGACACAATCATATGGCTCAAATTGTAAGCCATCCCCCAACTGATAAGAATCCTTTCAGTTTGCAATTCTTTGCCACCACAAAAAGAGCTGATATATTTTTATAGATATGGACATTTTCTTTTTACAAAAATTTCTTTGGGATACTAACCTAGTACTGGTATTGCTGGTCAAAGGATGTACTCAGTTTTATAGACCTTTAGGCACAGTTTCAAATTATTCTCTAGAATGGTTGGATCAGTTCACAACTCTACCAACGGTGCATTAGTGTCCCTATTTTTCCATATCTCCTCTAGCATTTGTCATTTTTTCTTGTCTGTCACGTTAGCCAATCTGGTAGGTGGTATCTCAGAGGTATTTTAATTTGCACTTCTCTATCCGGTCCCAGGTCTTCCATTTACTAGTTTTGTATGACTTTGAGCAAGGCATTTTACCACTCTGAGCTTCAATTTCTTTATCTATACAATAATGATGTTGCATTATCAGAGGTTCCCAAACTTATTTGGCCTACCACCACCTTTTGAAAAAACAAAAAATCTTTAAGTGTGTCCCTGGAAATCTACTTTCTTTAACCGTTTAACATTCTGTTTTGTTTTGTTTTTTGAAATTTGTGTCTTTTCAAACTACTACAGTGCCCCCCCATTCTTCCAATGCCCCCAGGGGGGCAGTATGTCCCACTTCGAGGACTTATGGCACTATCTCTAAAGTTCCTTCCAGCTTATACTTTTTGATTCTATGAAATGTCCAAGATCAGCCTGAGAAACTGCTCACCAATCTTTAAATCAGCTTCAAAATGTGCCTCCCCCAAAACTGCTCATCCTTACAAAGATCACAGTGATGGTAACTTTGAGAGAAAAGCACCATGTTTTTTCAGATCACTCTAATTCCATTGCTTAACTTGGTTTTCATTAAATCAGAATGAAACTTTTACAGGTCCTGAGAAAGTAGGGCTCCCACATCTTCCAAGGGTCTGTACTCTTGATCAGATTGTCTATACTATCCATCCTGTCACAAATACTTTTCTTTGTTTTGGGGAAAAACAGATCTCAGTCATTGGGAAAGCATGCAGTAGTTGTCCCACTCCACGAACCCTCTCACCTAAATTAATAAGTCTACTAAATTAATAACAAACAAAAAGCAGATTCCATGATACTCAAACACTAACTGACGTAGTAAAAATCACATCTTCTATGAAAACACATTTTTTAAATGGTAATAATTTTTTGCAATTTTTATTTGCATGCCCCAAATCTCCCTATCACAAAATCCTTCTATCACCTGATAAAATTGTCCATTATTAATGTTACTGAGTTTCTTAGAGAAAATTCATTTCTTAACTCACAATATTTTGGAGCTTCAAGAAAGAGTTTCTATTCTTCCCCTGACACACTGTGGGGAAAATTCAATTTAATTAAAATTTAATAACTAGGGGCAACTAGGTGGCTCAATGTATACAGC